TTTTTTTGGCATTAGGTTGTTTATTTAATAATTTTCTAAAGCTGACTGCCCGGCTGGACAATATTGGGATGTAGATGACTGTAATAAATGTCCTGTCGACACGTATAGGGCAAAAACTGATCCACTCGTGAAATGTATTAAATGCCCTGGGAATACGACTACAAGCGGGATGACGGGTCAAAAAGGACTCAGCGCTTGTCATGGTGGGCGAAACTTTAGGAGCATAGCAAGTTTCCCTTTTTCGAATCATTTTGCTTCCCAGATATCTGCGATGCTGGGGAGTATTACGACGAACAGCTAAAAAGATGCCAGTCTTGCCCTATGGGCACCTATCAAGAACATCGTGGAAGTACAGAATGTGTACCATGCTCATTGGACAGTACTACGACAATTACGGTAGTTTCAGTCTAAGGAATTAGCAAGATTCTTAAGAACTGATTTAGGGAGCCAAAAATGCTTCTGACTGCTCCTTCAAATGTGGTTCTGGCCAAGAGCTTACCGCTGAAGGTTTTTGTACTCCTTGTGTAAAAGGAACATATTGGGTAATTCAAGAGATCACAAATCAAAAGTAGTTTAGATAAAAGACATCATAAGCGGATTTTAGATCAAAACAGACAAATTTGTTGGCTGTGTTGAATGTCCTCGAGGTTTGACGACTATAGAAAGAGCAGCAACGGGTATACGGTAAGTAATCCTGTAATTGATTTATTTAGTTTAAGCGAACAATTGATTTATTATAGTGATTGTGAAGTTTTGAATTGTCCACCTGGGACCCATGTGAATCTACAACGAACCAAACCAATCGATCCATCCAGTACTCCATTCAGTTCTCTCTGTATAACCTGTGAAATGGGAACATATCAAGTGATTATCTTTTTAAATGCTCTATTATGTTATATGCCTTGTTACGGTATTCTCATGTTACCGTATCTTTCAAATTAGGACGAACACAATCAAACCGCTTGCAAACCATGCACCCCGGAATCAAATTGTGATCTAACGAATGGATGTTCACCGCTTTTGCCGGATTCTTGTCCAAAGGATGAGGAGTGCGAAATGGTTGATGGCGGGGTATACGCATGCTCAGCTGTTACTGTCAGTTTCCACTATTTTTTTCGATTCCTCTACATGAAAGCTGATGAAAAAGAATGCATTAAATAACATTTTAATACTTTCATGGCTCTCAAAAG